TATGAGTAGCAAAGAGGGAGGGATATCGGCTGCCGTCTTCACCGGAGACACCCTAGTAAGACAGTCATTTTTCATATATATATTTAATGTGATGTTAATTTATACGAATACTACGTATTATATAAAACTCAAATTTTGAAAGTGAAATTTAGACTAAGACGAATGAAGGGCATTTTTTATAAAATTTGTTAACGACTAATAATAAGAGCTTCTTCTCGCAATTAAGAGCTTCTTCTCGCAATTAAGTTTTTCATCTCGAGTTAATTAAAGAATTCAATTGTGAGCAACATCCATGAAGCTTCCTCCATGTGCAAGAATGACAAAGGAAACTTCCTCAACCACCATTGAAGCTTCCCCATGTTTAATCTCATTTTACTTCCACCTTCCTACTACCTAGTTTTGGCTCTATAAATAAAGAGCTTGAAGAGTCTTTCTATCATCAAGTAAATTAAATCATAGATCATCATAGCACAACCAAGTTTGAGTTACGAATATCCTTGATAAATATGTGAGGTGTTTTTGAGAGCTTTTAGTTAGAGTTTGTATGTCTCTTCTTTCTATTCTTGAAAGTAATAGAAGTTCTTTTTCTCTCATATTAACATGATCCTGTTGTTCCCAACAAGTGGTATCAAAGCCTGGTATCGGAGCTATGATTATGCTCACGGCTAAACTACACGCTATGGAAACCTCGGATGGAAGATTTCCTTAGCTGTAAAGACCTTTTTGATCCAATAGAGATGAAAGGTAGTAATCCTGACCCGCCCAAATCAATCCAGTGAAAGAAAATTAATTGGAAAAACTATCGGTCCACCACTTTGCACAAGAAACCGATGGTTATGCCCTTTGGAAGAAGTTAGAAGATATGTATCAGGCCAAGATCGCTAGGAATAAGGCCCTACTGATGAGGCGCTTTGTAAATATGAAGCTCAAATGTGGAATTTTTGTTGCCGAACATACTAGTCAATTTCATAGTATGGTAAATCAATTATCTTATGTCGAAATGCCACTTGAAGATAGAATGCAATCTCTACTACTTCTTAGCTCCCTACCTGGTAGTTGGGAGACACTGGTTGTTACTCTCGGTAACTCAACCTCAGACCACAAACTTAACATGTCTGTGGTCAAGGATGCATTGTTCAATGAGGAGGCAAGAAGGAAAGACGTGAGCACAGATCAGACTCGTGCCTTTGTGACGGAGAATCGAGGAAGACCACAAGGAAAGCAGCAAAGAAACAGTGGAGGAAAGTGGCAAAGCAGAGGCAAAAGTTGGGGGAGATCATCAGATGGTCGGAAACCTTCTTATACCTATCATCATTGCGGTATAGAGGAGCGAGAGAAGAGCAATTCACAAACGAAGAACAAGGGTGGTGAAGCGCTCATCACAATCTCAGGTAATGTAGCGTACTGTACTACCAATGATGAAACATGTCTGCACCTCTCAAGAGAGGACACTGAATGGTGGTAGATACTGCAACATCTTATCACTTTCAAGTTTGAAGGATGTCAGACATGTTCCAGACCTTCGGCTCAATCTCCTATCAGTGGCATGTCTTGACGAATAGGGGTATGAAAACCATTTTAGCAGGGGCACGTGAAAAATGTCAAAGAGCGTTTTGTCAATCGCTCGAGGACATGTTTGTGGCACATTGTACAAAACCCGTTTGAGGATTTGTACGGATAGCCTTAACATTGGTGAGGAGGCTTCTTAGGATCTGTGGCACCTGAGACTCGGTCACATCGGTGAGAAAGGGTTGACTACCTTGATGATGAAGAAACTTATCAACATTCATAAGAATGTTGCACTGGGTCCTTGTAGTCATTGTCTATTTGGTAAGCAACATAGAGTATCATTTAGTTCTACTTCAACTAAAAGATCAGAGTTGTTTTAGTACTTTTCGATGTATGTGGTCCTTTAAAGGTGGAATCACTCGGTGGAAGCAGATATTTTGTGACTTTTATCGATGATGCCCTCGGAAAGTGTGGGTGTATTTCATGATAACAAAAGATTAGATGTTCGGGTGCTTCAAGACATTTCACGTCTTGGTGAAAGTGAAACATGAAAGAAGCTGAAATGTCTCCGATCTGATAATGGAGGCGAGTATACTTCAAGGCATTCGATGCATATTGTAAAACATATGGAATTCGGCATGAGAGGTCAGTACCACGCACCCCTCAGCACAATAGCGTTGCTGAAAGAATGAATCGGACTATCATGGAGCGAGCCAGGAGCATGCTGAATATGGATAAGCTTCCAAAGTTATTTTGTGGAGAAGCAGTGAACATTGCATGCTATGTTATCAACCGATCATCTCCAGTACCACTCAACTTTGAAGTTCTAGAGAGGCTATGGACAAGTTAGGATCCTACATACTCGCATCTTAGAGTATTTGGTTGTTTGTCGTATGCACATGTATCCAAAGAGCTCAGACATAAGCTTGATGCAAGAACTATCCCATGCATTTTCGTTGGCTATGGAAATGAAGAGTTTGGATACATGTTATGGGATTCTAAGGAGAAAAAAGTGTTCAGAAGTAGGGACATTGTGTTCCATGAAAATTTGACAACAGAAGACATTGAAAAACACACAATGTCTCGGAAGTCAAATGAGGGTGCTCAAGTTTCAAATGAAGCACTGAACTATTCTTGAGAAACAATGATGAAGTGCATGTTGAAAACTCAGAAGTAGAAGAAGATGAGGAGATATAAGAGAGTGCAGTGCAAGAAGAGTCACAACCCACCTCGTCAGGCACACATCATCTGAATATCTTTTGTTAGCTGAAGATGGAGAACCAAAGAGTTTTCAAGAAGCTGTGTCTCATAAGGATAAATAAAAATGGCTAATAGCAATGCAGGATGAGTTAGAAACTCTGCAGAAAAAATCAAACTTTTGAGATCGTAGAACTTCCTAAAGGGAAGAAGGCACTGAGAAACAAATGGGTGTTCAAGTTGAAGAAGGATGCAAGCGGACAAGTGGTGAAACACAAAGCTCGGTTGATTGTGAAAGGATTTCAACAGAAGAAAGAAATTGATTTTGATTAGATCTTTGCACCAGTTGTCAAGATGACCTCGATCCGAGTTATACTTGGCTTGGCAGCAAGTATGAACTTAGAACTTGAACAGATGGATGTGAAGACAACATTTCTTCACGGTGATTTCAGAGAAGAAGTCTATATGCAACAGTTAGAAGGCTCTGAGAACTCAAATGATAAATTTGTGTGTAAATTATCTAAAAGTTTGTATGGCTTGAAGCAGGCACCAAGGCAGTGGAATGAGAAGTTTAACTCATGCATAAACAGTCAAGGCTATAAGAAGACTAATGTAGATGAGTGTGTATACATCAAGAAACTTCCAAACGGTACCTTCATTGCTCTTATGGTGTATGTAGATGACATGTTGATCGTTGGGAAAGATGCTGTGAAGATAAACTAGCTGAAGAAAGAACTCTCCAATTCTTTTGATATGAAAGACTTAGGACCAACTCAACAGATTCTTGGGATGCAGATCACTCGAGACAGGAATAATCGCAAGTTATGGCTATCTTAGGAGAAGTACATTGAACGAGTACTTGAGAGATTCAACATGAATGATGCCAAACCAGTTAGTGTTCCACCTATGAATCACTTCAAGTTGAGCAAAAGAACATGTCCCACATCCAAGGAAGAGATCGGGGAGATGTCAGCAGTTCCATATTCTTCAGCAGTTCCATATTCTTCAGCAGTTGGAAGTTTGATGTATGTCATGGTATTCACAAGACCATACATTGCACAGGCAGTGGGTACAGTGACTCGTTTTCTCTCTAACCCCGGGAAGGAGCATTGGGAGACAGTCAAATGGATTCTCAGGTACTTGAAAGGTACTACGAAGTTATGTCTTTGCTACAGAGGAGTTGATCCAGTCTTGGAAGGCTACACAAATGCTGATATGGCCGGAGATATTGATAGTGGAAAATCTACTTCAAGATATATCTACACTTTTGCGGGGGGGGGGGGGGGGGGGGCTGTTTCTTGGCAATCAAGATTGCAGAAGTGTATCACTTTTTCTATAACAGAAGCAGAATACATTGCTGTCGTTGAAGCAGGTAAGGAAATGTTGTAGCTAATGCGCTTTCTCCAAGAACTTGGGATCCAGCAGAAAGAGTACAAGGTACATTATGACAGTCAAAGTGCTCTAGACTTGAGCAAGAACTCTATGTACCATTCTCGTACAAAGCATATTGTTGTTCGGTATCATGGATACGGGAGACGATTGATCAACAACTGTTGAGACCAGTGAAGATCAACAACTGTTGAGACTAGTGAAGATCAATACAAAGGAGGATCCATCAGACATGCTGACAAAGGTGGTGACACGAGATAAGTTAGAGCCGTGCAGATACATAGTCAGGATGCTTGTTTTGAATATGTCTGAAAGGGGAGAATTGAAGAATTCAATTTCCAGGACATATCCAAGTATTGAAGAATCCAATTGTGAGCAACATCCATGAAGAAGAATCCAATTGTGAGCAACATCCATGAAACTTCCTCCATGTGCAAGAATGACAAAGGAAAGTTCCTCAACCACCATTGAAGCTTCCTCATGTTTAATCTCATTTTCCTTCCACCTTCCTACTACCTAGTTTTGGTGCTATAAATAAGAGCTTGGAGAGTCTTTCTATCATCAAGTAAATTAGATCATAGATCATCATAGCACAACCAAGTTTGAGTTGTGAATATCCTTGAGAGGTATGTGAGGTGTTTTTGAAAGTTTTTAGTTAGAGCTTGTATGTCTCTTCTTTCTATTCTTGAAAGTAATAAAAGTTTTCTTCCTCTCATATTAGCACGATCCTGTTATTCTCAACAGAGTTTTAGCTAGGCAAAATAACTTTTGGGTGTACTTAAATGATCTCTTACTTAGAGACATGATAGGCCCGGCGTAGCCAGAACACTGAATCGGTACAAACAATGAATTGATAATATATAGAAAATTGCTATGTTTTTGCCTTAGCTTATTAATGCAATGAGCTGAGTTATTTCTTCTGTAATTCAAATACTTGCATTGAGAAGTGCAGTTTTCTGGGGGTTGTGGTAAGTTCTTCGAAGGTACTGCCGCACAGATGTATCAATCTTTATGCAAGACATTGGCATCTCTTCCCAAATTAACTCGTGTTTACTGCGCCCATGAGGTATAGTATATGCCTAAAAACTCCTCATCCCATTATTTTTGCATGTCTCGTTTTCATTTTGTTTGTGGCATTAAATTAGTTTGTCTAAAATTATGTGTGATTTTAACTCATTCTTGTTTTATGTTTTATTCTTAATATCAATAACTTATTTCTACATACTTTTCTTTTCTTATCATAAAACGAAGAAGGGTTATTTAAAATAGTGTGAGTTGAACCGGCAAGTCGGCTATATTGGTAGTCCTTAAAAGGAAAGCAAGAACAAATTTTTCTTTATATATATAACAAGTATGATTTTGAACATTAATTACTTAGTTAGTTCTTTATATATATTAGAAGCAATGGCTAGTATACAACTAAAGTGAATATAATGGACAAAATGTGATTTTATAAGGAGTTATGTAATAGTAATTTCCTTGACTTAATGGACAAAATACCATTTTTCATCCCTCTTTGGTCCTTGGTTGACTAAAGTTTTGGTCATTTGTTCTTTCCGTACACTTTTCCCATCATTATGGCCAGATAAATGGCCAAAAAGGATCGAAAAGTGACAAAAACGAGGTGTGGGTACATAAAAATAGGGATGAGTTACGAGTTAGTAGTGATCTTGAGACAAAAAAAAAGGAACTCTTCCGTACTTGGGAGTTGATTTTACTAAAAGTGGTATGCCATTTAAAAATTTAAGCTAAAGTAATTTCTAAAATTTCTAGCTTTATATGTGTACTCTTATTTAATTCATAGTGTTAAGACATGGGGTTTCACCCTAAAAGGTCAACCTGATTGGGTGAGTAATCCAAATCTTAATATAGCACTTAGTTTCTTCACAAGTATCCAGCGTGTGAATTCAACGCCCTTTCTCACGACCAAACACTTCGTCTACATCGTGCCGTCATTCAATTTTTTCATCGATTCGTTACAGTGTTTTTTTATAATCGTGTCATCATTTTTCATAAGGGAGCCCACACCATGGATTGAGTTGGCTCTGATACCATGTTAAGATCTAGGGTTCCATTCTAAAAGGCCAACCTAATAGGGAGAGTAATATAGATCTTATTATATTACTTAGTTTCTTCACAAGTATCCGGTGTGGGAATTCAACACATAATTATTACAGTATACAATGAAGAACCTGGAATTTGGTTCAACCATTGAACCAGAAAACATTGTGTTGATGGAGAAGTTGGAATGGGCTAAGCAGCAAAGGAGGTTGAACCTACCAACCGTTCCATCCACCATCCAGGATGAACTCGACAACAACCCCTTCCTCAGAGTTGATTTACCACATATTCAGGTACTCACACATTGATGACTTTTGAGTTTTGACATATGATACACGGAAACTCTCCACAGCTCACTCACAGTCCCGTTTCAAAATCTTGTTTCGACATTGTTTACGCAATTAAGAAGAATCTGATAATGTGTCTTATAAATAATACTCCGTAATAAAACATTTTAATAATGATATATTAAAATGAAGTATTCAAAACTGCCCCTGCTTTATAAAGAAGTATAATACAAGAGTATTATTTTAATTAACAGTCAATATTAATAAAGTATGACTCAAAAAATGAAGACATGAACAAATATAATGGGACATAAGCACTACTTGGTTCAATATTATATACGATATAATAAATTGTTTATCCATGATCTTACAGGAGAAGCTATGGTGCACATCAGCAGTGGAAGCCCTGAAGAAGCTAAGGCAACTCAAAGATAATTATGGGAGTTAGAAATATATAGAGCATGCTAGTCATCCCAACGTTGACCGTCGCGAATGATTAAAGCTCATTGATCTAAAATCTTTAGAGAATCTTTGATCATTCATCACGTCATCATGCTCCTTAGTGAGCATACTAAGATGTTGCATGTATTTTCTCGACTGAGTAGAATACTAAGGTTTCCGAATAAAAAATATTGTGGTCGAGTTGCATAAGTATACGCATAACAATAACAATAATAATGCTAGTGTAACACTCGAGGCATGCCCGGTAGTTTCACATTGATATGAGTTGAAATAGCAAATATCAATAGAGCTTGTAAATTATCTAAAGAATTTGTTAATAACATGTTTTATGTTGAAAATATATATATTTATTATATTTATTGATATTTTTGGAGAAATTAGAAACATGATTTTGAAAAAATTATGCATATATTGTTTATTGTTATTATTATTTAAGTTTTAGACCTATTCAAATATGCACATTTTTTTTATTAATGTGGAGTATATGTAAATGGCATTGGTAATGTGTTCTTTTTTGTGAGTTAACGTATCAAAGTGCATATAGTATGAATCAAATTCACGAGAGATTGAGATAAAAGTTAACTATATCTAGAAAATTCATAACATATGATTATTAAAAATGCTACGATATAATTGATTCAATTCTAATAATTTGATTTGAACTAATAGGATATATGTGGGGTATTGTATTATATATATGTTTTAAAAACTAAGAAAAACACAACTTAATTAACGACTTGTTATAGCTGAATCTTATTTTTAATAATAATAGAAGACTAAAGTACTAACGATTATTTTAGGAGCTAGAAATAATCACTTAGGAAATTCAAGTGGCCATAAATAAAGTATTTATACAAATTTGATAATGTGAAAACAATTAGGAGCTACAAATTTGAATAGTAGTTGATCTTGTGCTCAATTAAATTATATTAATTCAGTTTTATTTAGGTGCGTACCGTTTATATATCTTTGACTATACGTCTATACTCCTATTATTAATTTGTTTTAAGGCGCTAATCGCAAATCTTAATTAACAAATATAATGCACAAATATAATGCTTTTATAGTATTGACCAAACTCTCACAAAAAACTCCTTTGGAGAGAAAATCTTTTTTTTATTATTATTATTTTAGGAAAAGGCCGGGTTTAATTATATTTCTTCCCTCTCTAGTAATGAAATCTTCTAATCACTTTATAATAATGTTTATGATTTCCATTTTGAATTAAATGTTATTTAGTTTCACTTTTTTTCATTTGAATGTATTTATAAAAGTAATTTCGTGTTACACGAGAGTTCAAGTTGTAAACAATATTAGACTAAAGCAATTCTATCTCTTAGTCAATTATTTTGTAGGTTACTTAGATAGGTTACTCTTGATTGGGCTTTGCACCCATTTTCATGTCCATCTCATTTAATATAAAATTATTTGACTTTACATCCTCATTCCTTCACAATTTTTGGATTAATGGAATGCACATATTACTGATTTTGAAAATGAGATATAAACTCTGAATATCACCAAAAAATAAGGTGCAAATTCCAATTCTCCTAAATTTTATATGTATGACTTCTAAGTTAAATATTTCTGAAATTAATGAAATATGTTCGAATCACTTTTATTAGGCAATTCAAATATGATGCAATTATACAAATAAACATATTAACTTTAATGCGGAGTAATATTTATCAAAGGTGGGCAACTTGTTTGAATGAATACACGCATAAAAAGTATTGGGATAAATGTTTGAACTTTATGTGATAACCCAAATAAAGGGAAAGTTCCCGAAATAGGACTAAACAGTTTCAAAATTCTAAAATAGGACTGTCATTTTTTTTATTTTCAAAATAGGACTAATAACTGCCATGTTTAGAAAGTACTGACATGTTTGAAGTCTGGTACTGCCGAAACATGGCAGTAATTAGTCCTATTTTGGGAATAAAATCATGGTAGTCCTATTTTGGAATTTTCAAACTGTTTTAGTCCTATTTCGGGTGATATCTCCCAAATAAATGATTATAAAGATAAACTATTTAACTTTATCAACTATATTTAATTTAATAAAATTAAATATAATTAAATTGTCTCAATAAAAAAAGGCGTATTGTTTTTACGTTTGAAAGAACTGTTAAGTTGCTTATTAAATTTAGGAGCTCTTTTAGAATGTTTTTACTTGAATCGAAATTTTTTGATCTGATCTGGTGATGTAGTTTGGTATGTTTAAGTCTGATCTGATCTAATCTGGTCCGATATGGTAGATGTATGATCTATGTGTACTTTACAACTATAAAAGCTTGATCTAGTTTGATGTGTTAAAGTGTGGTCTGATCTGATATAGTCTGTTTAAGAAGCTGGTCTGTTCGTCTTATTCTTATTATTTATTGCTTATTCTTATTTTATTCAAATCAAATCATATCATAAAATTTGAGATCAGATCAGACCATATCAGATCAGACTAGAAACATTTAGATCAGATCAGAAACATTCAGATCAGATCAGATTGGTTCACACATCATTTATCCCTTTTATTATTATTATAATAGTTATAATAATAATAATAATAATAATAATAATAATAATAATAAAATACTCGGAAAAAGGGGCAAATAAGCCCACGTACTAACCAAAAAGGTCAAATAGGCCTTTATATAGGAGGCTATGTCTGGCCATCGTCATTTGGGGCGGTTCCCGGTGGAAATTTTTGATGCAATTTTTTGAGCATATTATTCATTAAGTCTAGTTTACTCATACCAAATTTCAGCTAAAACTTCAATCGAGAAAGCATTCAAATGAATTCTTGAAGATAACTGCGCAGTTAAAAGCGCAGTTATCTTCAAGAATTTATTTGAATGACTTCCCCATTGAATTTTTATCTGAATTTTGGTATGAGTAAACTAGACTTAATGAATAAAATTCTCAAAAACAATCATTAAAAAATTCCACCGAGAACTACCTCAAATGGCGACGACCGGACAGAGACTCTTATATAAGAGCTTATTTGACCTTTTTTGTTAGTAATTTGCCCGTTTCTCTTAAAATACTCCGTATATCTTTAATATTTCTCTTTTATATTCTGCATATCCAGATAATTTAAACCGGTGGAAATATCCCGTGAAATCCACCTTTTCTAATTGTATTTCGTTTATGTCTCCTCCGAATTTACTTTTCATTTGTAACTTTCACTTTTTCACTTTTAATTTTATATTTCAAAAACGACCTAAGTCTTAAATAAAACCCCCAACCAGATATCGTTTCAGAGATCGGAGACGTTAATGGAGGTTCCCTCCCGCCCAGTGCCAGCTGCGTCTTCGGCCTCCGCCCTCCGCCCTCCGCCCTCCGCCCTCCGCCCTCTGTGGCCCCGTCCTCTACCTTCCGTCCTCTGCGGCTGCGCTTTCCATCCTCTGCCCTCCGCCTTTGCATGCTCGGCTACTCTGATGCTCGCTGAATCACGTCTTAACTGTGTGTTGATTTCCAGTTTGCAGGTATGGACATTTCAATTCATCACTTGGATCTCCAATTTGAACAATTTGTTCTTAGGATTATGAGAATTTTTTGTGGTTCCAAGATAAATAGCATTAACCCCTGTTTTAGGGGTGAAATACTTTTTCTGTAATTCATGAGATTAGATACGTTGTGACAAGTAATGTGTATGACTAGAGCTAATAATCCATGACGGTTTTCACTTTAAACAGTAACTATACTACTTCGTTTAGCTTTTCGTTAGCAGGTTTTCAGTGTTTTTTGCTTGCGGAGATGATTGTGACTTTGTGAGTTCTCCATTGATTCGAAGAAGGCTAACAGGTCATTTTTAAAATTAACTATTCTGTTTGCCAGAATTGTTATAGTGATTTTTCAATCTCTTTGCCTATTTGTGTTTATTTTCATCTTTCTTTTTCAAACATTTGTTTGTTAAAAATGATATAAATGGCAGAGGTTGTACTTGCAGTGTGCAGAGGTACTTAATTACCTATGTGTTGCTGTATTTTATTCAAGGGTCATATATGAATTTAAACGTATGAGTAAAATGACGTCTTGAATAACTACATTTTGCTATAAACTCTCAACTTTCAACTTCTTATTGTTTTCTCACGACATATACGTCCCTCATAGAAAAACATTCTTTATAGGTTGCTCATAGTGAACCATTCTTTATAGGTTTTTGATGATATGCATCCAACCAAAATATCTGGTAGCCTGGATAACTAAAGAGTCTGTTTAACATTTTTTTCTTTCATGAGGACCTGCATAGTTTGTGGTTGTAGCTAAAATAGTGAATACAGTTTTGAGTAATTTGACTTTGTATTTATCCAAATCTCATTCCCATTAATAATTTTGTCATGGAATGGACTATAGAATGTTTGTAAATCTAGGTCTCACGTGTTTCTCAACTTGTTTTTTGTGATGGCTGAGGGCAATTACTTATCTTTAGCGCTTTTAGATATTTTTTCGGTTAACACATGTCTCACAACTTTTTTTATCTTATGGATAATGGAATAGGTGCCAAATGTCATTGATATTAGTCTCAAACCAAGGGAAGTGAAGAAGGTTGCTATAGTTGGTGGGGGTCTAATGAGATCTGAAAAATATCTACAACACTTAAAGGGTTTTGAGGTGGATCTTATGATTTTGATTAGTTGCACTTGTCTTTGTAAAGAATTTGACATTTAATTTACTGTAAACCTAATGATGGTTGTAATATTACAGGTTCTAATTGATTATGCAGCAATTTTGCTATTTTAGCTAATTTTGAGGACTTTGATCTAGAGAAAATGAAGCATCTGGAAGATTTTTTTTGTCCTACTTGAACCTTGAATGTTGCAACTTGTCCATAGGATGTTGATATAAAGCTCAATCCAAAGTTACAAGATTGTTTTGTGCAAAACTGCTCATTTGACATGCCTATTGCATTCCCTAAAGTGTCTATTTGTTGTTAATGTACACTTGTAACAATCATTTAATTGCTGATTTCACAAACATGCACCATTTAATCAGTGCTCTCTCTGCGTCGTGAGCATATGTTTACTTACAATGGCATTGAAATAATAAACTCATTATATATTTATTGTGATACTTTTATATATTTTTTGTTTCCTTTTGTTGCATTGTGTGTTGCGTTTGGTTGTACTAGATTGTTTTTTGTTGCATTATGCTGCTTTTGGTTGCACTAGATTGTTTTTTGTTTCATCATGTTGCTTTTAGTTGCACTAGATTGTTTTTTGTTGCATCATGTTGCTTTTTGTTGCATCTTGTTGTTGTTTATTACAGAATGTTTCTTTTTGTTGTATCTTGTTGTTGTTTATTGCAGAATGTTTCATTTTATTGATTTTTTGAACTATAGCTTTTTTATTTATGTTATTTATGTGTATCTATGTTTCCATTTGTATGTAGTAACTTTTTCTGTATGCAATATATATTTATATGAACACCTAAAATGATACATTTGGAATTATCAATATTAGAAACAACTAGAAACATGGTGAAACAATAAAAAATAAAATAAAATAAAAGTTATAAACAAAAAGAAACACAAGGAAACAATATTCTACGGAACTTAAAAAAGATGATAATTACATTTTAAAATATGTAAAATTTATTGAATTAAAAATTAAAATTTTCAATTTTTCAATTTTGATTTTTTACATGTTGAACATTTTAAGTTTTCAATTTTTTTTGAATTTTCTGTTTTTTGATATTTTACACTTTTTATAATTTACATTAATTTTATGATATTGTTTTCATATTTATTATTATATTATCTCTCTTTGTACTTTAAAAATTATTCTAGATTTTTTTAATAATTTAAAATTATATATACATTTGGATTTTATAGAGTTTGTACTATGGGATTTATTCCAATTTAAAAAATATATTCTTTCAAAAATATTTATAATTACATTTCATACTTTTTAGTAGTTCTAAAATATGTTTATCTAATTTTTTTTTTAATTTTTAACTATTTTAAACTTTTATATATTTGTTATCATGTTTATTATACTTAAAGTTTCTATATTTTTCTGATTTTTTTGAAACTTAAATTAATTTTCTTTTAGTTCTTAAATTTAATTTACAATTTTTAACTTTGAATTTTTTCTAATGAATGTTTTATTTTTATTTTTTTTCAAACTTTCAGTATTTCTGTCAATATTTAACTTTTGAAAATTTTACTTTAACTAGTGTGAGAGAGGCACTTTTAGTCCTCTACTTTCAAGTTTTCCACATTTAGTCCTTTAAGTATTATCAAATTGACACTTTTAGTCCTTCTACTATGATTTTGACACAAAAAGTGGAGGATTAGAAATGTCTCTATTGCAACAGTTGAAGGACTAAAAATGTCACTTTTACAAAAGTCAAATAACTAAATATGGAAATTTTCAAAGACGGATATCAAAAGTGTCTCTCGCACTATAGTCGAGGACTAAAAATAAAAAAAATAAAAGTCAAGTATCAAAAGTATCCCTAACACAATAGTCAGACCAAGAGTGACAAAAACTCTATTTTAGTTTGGTTTACAAGTTTTCTTTTTGCATTTGGTATTGTTGCTTGGCTTGAATATTTAAATTTTTTAACACTCGCTTTGTTATTAATGTTTACATTTTTGTATTTACATATAAAAAATAGAGAACTTCCAACTGTTGGTAATAAAGAGAGAGTAGGTGGGTTTTAAGGAAATGGTCTATTAATGAAAAGAAAACCTTAGTTAGTCCGTTTTTGAAAAAAGTTTTCCCTAATGACAAAAGTGATTTTTTTTGGCGTTTTTGACCATTTGTGAAAATTTCCCTTTAAACCGACTACAACTTGATCAATTTCATGATCCACCCATTTGAGTGTTGAAAGCCTCGAAATTTTGGCAACTTTTGTCAAGAAGTTTCTCTTATCCCCTTTCCTCAACCGGCTCAACGATAAACTAGGGGCAGGAGCTAAGAGGTCGGATACAATACAAGTTCAGGTTCTGCGAGTCACTGACAGCCGAGGATGAAGATTCTTCACATACCATGCTTAGAGGATAATTACTCCTACTTGTAAGACCTCCTCAACTTCCGAAGCACTCATTCGTTTCCACCGTTTTTGGATTCCCGCTCAGATTATTTTTGCTGTTTGGCGATTGTGTTTACAGGATTATCGACGAGTCCACAAAGGAAGCCGCTGCGGTGGACCCGGTCGAGCCGCAGAAGGTCCTACGCGTCGCGGAGGAGAATGGCGTTGATCTTAAACTCGTTCTCACCACTCACCACCACTGGTTCGTCATCGCTGATCCATTTACATCTAGTTTCCAATTTTTTATTGCATTGTTGATTATCTGGTTCTGTCTATATGTCTCTTCCATGAATTTGCAGTTTATCATTGTGTAGTGAGCTTTTAATTCTATTTTTTTTCACACGTTGGAAATGTTTTTAGTAGACAATAAAAACTGTTGCAATGGATCCCCCCCCCCCCCCCCCCCCCCCCCCATGGCCCCAACTGCCTTTGATGAGTTGCTACTTGCTAGTGGTGGTCAGTCAGTTACTCCGTATTTAAATATCCTAGTGGAGCACCAGATGGAAATGCACAAGAGAATTAGAGGTCAAAATGGCTGTATAATACCTGGATTAGAAGGCAAGTAAATGTGGAATTACTAGGTCAGAAGGTTTCATCATGTGAAGGATCTTAGAAGATGGAACTAAAATATCGTAGTGTCTATGTATTTACCTGTAGTCTTAATCCAACCTGTACAAGTATACAACTCATTATACAATTTCAAACATCTCCAATTGTATTTGAGGCTTACACTTGGTAGATATTTTTGCAGAGATGTGCCAGTATCATTTTAAATGGATTTGGGTCGAAAATTCGAAATTGTGCTACTTTCTGGCCCAAATGTTCACTGTTCAGTTCTCTGTATTTTATTATTTGTAATGGTGTTTCATGTTAATGATTGGGTGATAGTTTAGTTGTCTTGAACAGCTGCAATGGAAATCATTTTTTGTTTTCATTTACCACAGTAAAAGTGATGTCTTGTTTGTATGTGCTTTCAAGAAAGTCATTTGTATACTAATAAAAGTATATTTGCAGGCCCCTTTTACTACTTTTCTTAAACATAATACGGAGTACTTGTAGTTAGATAAGTTCTCCAGATTAAAACAGTCCTTTTTATCGAGTTCCTAGAGCTATTTAAGATTTTTAATATAATATTTTAGAATTCATGAAAAGCACTTTTACTACATGTTAAGAACAATGCCTTAGAAGTTGCACCAGTTTATGATGATTAGGATCACTATTTCATTACAATTTTGGTACCATCAAGGCATCAATCACATATTTCATTGAAAAAAACCTTTATGGGAGAAAGTTGATGAAATTAAAATCTAAAATGACAGATTTACATATTGAGATACTACAAAAATAACTCAAGCATTGAGCTCTGCTATTATGATGCTTACGCCTACTTGCATCAGTCCATGCAACCCCACCCCAGTGGAAATTCATGCAACCTCCATGGACAAAGTCCTGTTTTGGTACTTTGATGAGTGTAACAATTTTCCTTGTTGTTGTCATAATTTCTTCATGCATGCAGTATTTTACAGATACACGGTTGTGATACAGCTGATGTAATATGATATATTGTAGGGATCATGCTGGTGGCAATGATAAACTAAAGCAGTTGATACCAGGAATAAAGGTGTATGGCGGTTCAACCGATAATGTGCAGGGCTGCACCGATAAGGTTGAAAATGGTGACAGGATATTTCTTGGAGCTAACACCAACATAATAGCGCTTCACACACCTTGGTAAGCATATTTAAACTTTCTAACTTCAACCTATTATGCCACATTTGGCTATCAGTATTCCCTCGAAATGCCAAACGTGTTAGAACTAAAAAAGCTGCAAAAACCAGTAGATTCAGATGACATAATAAAAAGCTAAAAACAAATGAAACCATAGTCTTCTTCCTTTGTTATTTGATACTTAGCCTGTCACATTTCATTTTATTATTCCAGATTAAACTAACTGTTCATTTCCTCTTAATTTTATTCTCCTCTTAAAATATTTTCTACTACCTCCATTCTTTATTAGCGGAAACAATTTGCCCTTTTGTCCTATTCACTAACTCAACTTTGGATTCATTTTATATAATAATGTAATAATAAACTATATTATTAAAAATATTGTTAAGTCTGTCTCGATGTAGAGTTTCAAATTGTGATTTTTTATATAATGTTTATTAATAGCCAATGAAATATATTAATGGTCAACATTGTGAGTTGGCAAATGTGATCGTTAAACACATGCAACAAATTAAGAATAGAGGAAGAATAATTTTTAATAGGTAAAGATAATCAAAATACCCCAAACTTTGAAGGGGTGTGAGGTAAGCACTCCAAACTTGCATATGTAATTTAAATACCCCAAACTTTATATAAAAAATTATTTTAGCACCATGTTCATGCATTATTTCTTTCAAAAATGTAAATTTTTGGGTTAATTTCATAATTTAAAATATTTTTAGCATTCATGAAGATACAATTAACATTCTAAACTTCCATTGCAAAATAAATAGTATTATCCCCCACTCTATATAATTGCAACGTTTTCAATTTGCTGTTTTAAATTATGTAATTAACATCACAAATTTACATTTTTGAAATAAATAATACATGACCATGGTGTTAAAATAACTTTATATATAAAGTTTGGGGTAGTTAAATTACATGTAAAAGTTTGGGGTGTTTATCTCACACCCTTTCAAAGTTTGGGGTATTTTTGTTATTTTTTCCTTTTTAATATAGGAGATCTTTTCCCAACAATTTTATTTGACATATTTTTTCTACCTCGTGCCTCTTTATTGCTACTTGTTGCCACCAAAGCAATTATTTGCAACATTTTAACTAGTTTCTAACTGCTACATCCAGCCACACTAAAGGGCATATAAGCTACTATGTCACTGACAAAGAGTCAGATGAACCTGCTGTTTTCACAGGAGACACTCTGGTATGTGTGAGGTTGATCATTATTTAACTTTGATATAACTTTTGATGAGTTCAAGTACTTGTTAATGACAATGAGAAGATGTAAGGTTCAACAATTCTCATATTCTTATTTGCTATATACTCCGTAATACATTATTGACCCAAATGACCATGTTTCAGTTGCTAGATAGGTTTTAAAAAATTGTTCTAAATAGGAGTAAAACAATGTGACATTCCAAAATAGGAATAATTTCCCCCCTCTAAATAGGAGACATTAATTTGATGCTAGAAAACCACTGTCAATTGTGGCATTAATACTGCCATTTAATGTCTACTAATGGCAAAATATGGCATTGTTGTTTTATGATGAAAGTAAATTAGTCCTATTTAGTGAAAAACATAGTAGTGAAAAACATAGTATTTCTATTTTAAAAATTCACAATGTCTTTACTCCTATTTTGGGAAAATTCCCTATATTAAACTTACCCAGTTTGCTGGTTATGATCTCTCTCTCTCACTGCAGTTCGTAGCGGGTTGTGGTAAGTTTTTTGAGGGCACTGCATTACAAATGTATCAATCACTTTGTGTGACATTGAACTCATTGCCAAAGCCAACACATGTGTACTGTGGCCATGAGGTATATACATAAATTTTACATTGTGTTATGTAGATTGTAGACTATCTCACCTTAATTGAAAGGTTCCATTTAATAAGATGCCATACTGATCTCTGAAATCAGTGACAAATGTACAGTTTTCGAGAGAACTAATTTTTGTTTTTCCCCTAAAGATTTAAAGAAATGTCATGTCAGGGGAGTATCCAAAAGTAAGACTTGATTTGGTTGCATACTTGAATTTGATGCGATGTGCGTTGACTTATAAAAACGGAAATTATATACAACTTCACTTTTGTTTTAATATCATCATCAGTGAGTATGGCTTGGAATCAATGTTAAAATCTGCACTGGTACAAGGTAAATAGGCCAAGGCCTAGCAGGGCGGGTTGGGGCATGCCAACCCCAGGCTTCGGATTCTCTTTGCATGTATGCGTTTTGTATAAAGACTTATATGAACGGATTATTTCTTGATCTCATCCACCCCTAATCTGCTGTTTTGGAAGTTCAGGGATATGTCCTTGATCCGTAGAGAGTCTTAGCGCAGCATAGATGAGAGTATGGGATTAGTCAGGACTATTTGGGGTGGGGATGTAGGGCTCCTATGGAAGTCTATCACCAAGGGTTTCTAACATAGTTTGGCATTGTATTAGCATTTCAAACTATGTTGTTCTGAAGCAAATTGTGTTTTTTTTTAAATTGAAATAGTGTGAGTGGTTTTTTTTTCTATTATCAAACCTTGTCCTAAGTGGATTCTAGTTTGGATTTCGTTTAGTCTTTTATTTTTGACTCCTGCAAGGGATTCTTATAGCTTTTATTGTTTTTGTGCAGTACACTGTAAAGAATTTGCAGTTTGCTTTAACAATTGAACCAGATAATGCAAAAACAGTTCAAAAGCTATCCTGGGCTCAGTCTCAAAGAAAGAGTGGGCTTCCAACTGTTCCATCCACTATTGAGGAAGAACTTGATACTAACCCGTTCATGCGGGTTGATAATCCAGAGGTCCAGGTTAGTTTTCTATTGGGGCCTGCTGTATGCGTGGTTGTTTTTTCAAATTTTCACTTTTCCAGATGAATGGATGTCCCAACACCATGTCCAAAAAGTTCTGGTCTTACACATCAGTCAAACGGTTTTTATGTAATCTAAAAAAACGGCGCTTGAGGGATGTAATAGATTGGGGCTTACATGTTTTGAATTCGTCGCTGGAGAATTCACACAAAAGTCAGATAAGTTACATAGTCCGTATAGTGATACAAATAGATAAACAACAACAACAACAACATACAAGCCTTAGTCCCAAAAGATATTGGGGTCGGCTAACATGAATCGATACATGATATCACAACCAAAAGGAAAAAAAGGAAAAAAGATAAAAAGATAAGCTATTATGAAAAGATAATATAAAAAAGATGAATATATATAGAAATGATAAAATAAAAAGGCTGCAAATAATGCATATATACAAGGATAAAAAAACTAGGAAAAAAAGATGAGGGAAAAAGATTATCAAGATCACTCCTTCACGTGAATACCCGCCCTCCACTTAGTTCTCTCCAAAGTCATGCCCTCATCCAACCCCAGAAGAAGCATATCACTTCGAACTCCCCTAACCCACGTCTGTTTGGGTCTTCCTTTTCCTCTCTTCCCTGCCTCTTCTCCACACATCTCAACTCGCCTAACAGGTGCATCACTCGGTCTTCTACGCACATGACCAAACCACCGTAGGCGCGACTCTCGCATCTTGTCTTCAATAGGTGCTACTCCCACCCTTTGTCTGATTGTCTCATTCCTCACGCGGTCCTTCCTAGTATGCCCACACATCCAACGCAGCATGCGCATCTCTGCCACACTCATCTTTTGAATGTGACATTGTTTCACCGCCCAACACTCTACGCCATACAAATAGATAAACCATGAATAAATTTACGATAAGATTAATGATTTATCGTAGTAATACCCTATTTTGAAATTTGTAGTAATACCGTATTTTGAAATTAAAAAGTGGTATCTGGGTCATGACACTTTGGGGACATGGGATACTAGGATAGTAAATATGTTCAGATAAAAATGGATTTGGATCCCGTGAGTTAGAACCCTCAGCTCTCTTCAACTTACTTGAGTACGAGACAAGACTGGTAACAGATAATATTACATATAATCCACACCAGACTAAATCAAAATGACCAGCCCGAAAAAGACAGTCCTGGAGAACATGCCCTTAACCATTATGATTCAATTGGCTATTGCCTATTAGTAGAGTTGCTGATGTCAACTCCACGACAATAGAAATGTCATATGAGATATTTACCCTCTTATGACTAAAAGAAGATGTGTTTCCCAATTTATGACTCCCAACTGTTTGTTTCTTATTATGATACTTAATACGTGATGGTCATTCCCATTTTTCAGTTCTAATAAGCAAAGTAATTAATCCATTCTAATGAAACGGAAGTGACTTCCACGACCATTGAGGCAGTTAAGTCATACAATGGTCATAAAACATGTTTAGTCATATTATGGGAATTGATATGAGTTTTAGTAATATATAGGTCAATTTCCCATGTCATATCGTTAAAAAGGATTTCAAAAGTTTAATGCTTTTATTACTGTTCTATTATTGAGTAACTACAATAGAAATGTCAAAGAAATTCTTTTTCCAGTAAAAAATTAAATGAAACTCATTTTTCATTTAATAAATTAAATGAAAGACATTTTGAAACCTAAAACAAGTTAAATGAAAGAGTTCAGGTTTATAAACTTATTAAATGATGCAATATCCCTTGGACATTTCATAGAGAAGGGCAGGGGGGTCCAAGGGATATTGGAAATTTCATAAAAATGTCCAATACCCTTGGGCGAAAGTTAAATGAAAGACATTTTGAAACCCTATCCTTCTCTATACACTTCACCCAATAAAAGAGCTCAGGTTTATAAATGATGCAATACATACTTCAAGATGATAATTAAATTTTAACTATTACAACAAACATCCTAGCCTTAATCTAAAAAAAGAATGGGGTTGCGTTATATGAATCGACATGGTGTAGAGTAGGGCAGGTGGGTCCAAGGGACTCGCTCACCCCTCTAAGTGCTATTGTTTGCATCACATTACTGAGGTCAGAAATTATGCACGTGTATTCGGCTTTTGCATTTTATTATTTTATGTGTAATCCATTGCTTGTTACTCAGGAAAAGGTTGGAAGCAAGTGTCCTGTGGAAGCCTTGAAGGAGATAAGGCAACGGAAAGATAACTGGAAGGGTTAAGGAAGTCAATCAGTCATTGTATGCTGATACTCTTTTTCTACGTTCCTGTATATATGTAATATGAGTATGTTCTCTGAGTAAGAGTGTACACAACATAACAATAGTAGTAATGATGACAACACCAATATTAAAACAATAACAGGGAAATATATTACTACGTATATCAGTAATGAATGGGTAATACTCCAACTTGGATTCTCCACTTTTTTGTGATTTTGTATGCTTGAGTTTCACCTTAAATCCTCGTTGATTTGCTTCATGGTGTGTTCATATTTTTCATTGAAATTTGGAACAATATTTAACTTGAACAACTTATAATTCGCTTTTGGTTTGAAATTATAAACATAAAAAATGTGTTGAGGTCACTAGTTCAAACCCTCCAAGGTGGCCGCTTGCTAACCTTGCTTTATTAAAGGCATTACAAAGAAGCAATCTTGCAAGGAAAATTCTATTGGCTTTTGCACACCCTCCCTACTTTTGTCTATGTACATAGGCAGTTCATATAAAAACATGCCTATGTACACCAGAAGGTGTACGCTTAGCACACAAATGGTTTTATGGTTGTGGATCAATATTTCAAATTTCAAATTTCACTATACAAAACTGTGCTTTCGAACTGTATAAATTTCAAATGGTATGTTTGTGCTTTGATTGCTTGAAGACACTTACTCATTTGAGTGTAGTTCATTCAAATCAAATGAGTTTTTCCTTCAAAAAGAAATCAACTTCAAAAAGAAATCAATGTGTCATTTTGTATTTAGGGGTGTTTATAATTCAAAAAGTAGAAACAAAATCAATATCACTTTTTCAAAATTGGAGCACTTAGAAGTACTGTTGCTCTTCTATCTAAGCACTTTCTTATCGGCTTATATCTAAAGGAGCATAAGAAATTTTAAGAAGCATATTGCAACACACTAAGGTTTATTGAGGTGTACACATGTTTTGGATCTATTAACTATAAGAAATTTAAGAATAATGATGTGGATTAGTTTTCATATAATAATAAAGGAATAGCAAAAAAGTAGAATTTTAGAATATAATCTATTGCCTTTCAAAAATAGAATATAATTGATTGCATAACAATCTTCATTAGTTTAAAATGGATGCTTGCGTGGAAGTTGGCCTTTTTGACTTCATATTATTTTCATCGTTTCTCAAATAAGGTTAATCGATTTGGAGGTGAAAATTGGTATAATGCCTTCCCGATTGAAGTTTTAGCTGAAAATTGGTATAAGTGAACTAGACTTAATGAATAAGATGCTCAAAAAGTTTCATTGAAAAATTCCACGGGGAACCGCTCCAAATATTGTCCGTCGGACATAACTTCCTATATAAGGTCTTATTTGACATTTTTTTGTTAGTTCGAGACCCTATGACCCTTTTCCCTCTTTTAAATAAGTCAATTTGAAAATCAAGAGCAAACACAAACACTGTCAATACACAGTAAAATTGCAATGGTAGAGTGTTAGTGGGCAATCACAATGAAAAAAGTAATAACTGATATGACATCATAATTATTTGAAAATCAAGAGCAAACACAAACACTGTCAATACACAGTAAAATTGCAATGGTAGAGTGTTAGTGGGCAATCACAATGAAAAAAGTAATAACTGATATGACATCATAATTATTGTTATATGAAAATTTGAGTAAAGTTAATTATCCCAATGTGATTCAAAAAATGCGCCAAATTCCTATGTGTTATAATTAACCAATTGTAACGAGATCAAATATTTTTTTACTAAATAATTCTAATTCACTACCAATTTCTAAAACAATTTTACTTTCATACGGATTTTGTTTACTAAAGAAAATAAACAATCAAACAAATATAAAACTAATTTAAATTGGAAGTGTAATTAAGGCAACACAAGAGAATCAAATAGTGTAAACTATGGCATAGGTATTTAACTACATCTGTCACAAAAAGGTTTGCAACTTTCTTTGTTTGACCGTCTTAAAAAGTTTATCATTTCTTTTTATAGTAACCCCTCTTGTCCGTTATAACATTGTCAGGGCTGACTGATACGTTGAATAATAAAATAAAAACTTTGTATTTGAGATCTCTATAAATGAGAAAAACTAACAAGCAGCCATGTTGAATAATAAAATAAAACTTCGTATTTGAGATCTGTATAAATGAGAAATACTAACAAGAACTACATTTTTTTTATTTAAAAGAGAAAATGACACAATTTGTTAAACGGAATGTTGACTCAATCATAAGGCAACAGAAGGAGTAATAAATTTCCGTTTCGTACTATTTTTCTTCTCTACACTAATTTAAAGTTTAAACTATGTAATTTCACTTTTTAAAGAAAGAGGATTAATTAACATTAATCAAATTGGTCAAAGCCGATACAATAAAAGTAGGAGGAGAATAATGCCAAAACCGCGAATCAGACAAAGAACAAGCCGCTTTAGCCAACAAATGAGCAGACTTATTCGCTGACCGCTTAATATGACAGAATGAAATGCTCGAAAAAGACTTCGCCAATTCTCTATTGTCGTCACTCAATAAACCGATCAAAGAAACACTCGACCCATTCAAAATTTCAGAAATCGCCCCGGTTGCATCAGACTCCACTTCGATCGACGTCCCGCCAAACTCCTTAAGCCAACTCAATGCCTCGCGGTTTCCTACCAGTTCGGTGCCTAGCGGAGACAAACGTCCCGACCAAGGCTTGGCACTTCCGGCAATGAAAGAGCCGTTGTCATCACGAAGACACCATCCAAGGCCACACCTATCAGCTCAAGTCGTTGCGTCTACATTCAATTTCCAGAATCCATGCTTAGGTCTGCTCCAAGAAGCCCACCCCTACTGAATGATCTGCGGTCTCCTTCCTCGAGCTGCCTGCATCTGCGCCTGCTTCCATCCATCGACCAGAACTCAAGTACGATGAATCAACTGCCTCGTCGCCGAAGTCTTCCCCTGCCACACTCGTTGGTTGTGCTCGTTGCACAGCGTTCAACAACACCAAACTAACATCTCCAAGACCTCCTTTTTCTTCACCCTGAATTCCTTATTAATTTGCTCTAGAAATGATGAACTTTCCCCAGCCGTCCACAGCCACCCAAGAGTTCTCCACAGGTCCCAAGCCAGCGTGCAATGTGTAAACAAATGCTCTAGTGATTCCGCTGCAGCTCCGCACAGCTCGCAAAGTCCTGAACAGTCCACTCTACGCACCTGCAAATTTAATTTCGTAGGAAGACAGCCGCTACAAACATGCCAAAAAATATTTTAATTTTAGGTGGAAACTTTGACTCCCGCAAGGCAGTCCATATCACAGACTCACAATTGATCAACCTTTATGAGGCAGATGAAGTAAAATAATAGGCCCCATTTGTAATTTGGCCATTTGGGCCATGCATGAGCCCGTTGCCCCCTTTCAGAACCAGCCCAGATGATACATAAATACGTACTCCGCAGTATATATAACTTTAATTTTCAATTCTTCCCGTTATCTTGTTCAGAAATCTTAGTACTGGTAATTCTTAAGTAATTAAATCATATAATCTGGTTTTGGTAATAAATTTAGTAATAATAAATTAATGAATTAAAATTTTAACTAAATTTGGTTTTGGTTTTGGTATTGGAACGGAACAAGATGGACTTTTATTCTCTTTCTCACACGACTACTCCATTAGTTTGAACATTTCTCTGTTTACAATATAAAAAACAGTCTTCATCCTCAAGAAATTCTCAAAAGCAAAGAAGAAACTCTGAAGAAATTCAATCGTTTGCGTGTTACGAGTTTCTACAATGGAAACATCGCATGTTTCTGGGTCTGGTTTACCGTCTTCTTCTTCGGCGTCCTCTCCGAGCTCTACTACTATTTGGTCTTCACTTCGGCTCTTCCGGTTCCCGGTTTCCACCTTATTAGAGCACTCCGGTATGCTCCGGTCTCGACGCGAAAGCTATGAAATCGCAGCGCCGGAAACGAATGTTACCGGGACCCCTGATTTGGGTACTGGTGAGGATGGGGAACTCAGGATTAGAATTATTGGAAGGGGTGAGCAGGATCAGGTTGGGATTGAGGGTGAAGAAGAGGCGGCAATTGATGATGGTGAGGCTGGGGTAGAGGAGGGAGGTGTAGGTGGTGCGGAGGCGGCTATAGTGACGGTGGATTCCGGTGGAAACGGGGAAAATGTCAGCGGGAGTTCTAGGGATTCTACTTACCAGAGATATGATGTACAGCAGGTTGCCAGTTGGATTGAGCAGGTTCTTCCCTTTTCATTGCTTCTCCTAGTGGTGTTTATACGCCAGCATTTGCAAGGTATACTCAAGTTTTGTTTGGATTCTTCATCATTGCATACTACGGAGTATTTGTTATTGCACTAATGTACATTTGCTTTATGATCTGAACTGATGACAGTGTTCATTATGTTTGATGATATCTACTACTCCGTATCATAATTTCTGCACCTTTTGTTAATGAATTATATCTACTGAATCTTCTAAAACTAAAAGCATTTGGTTAAATCAAATTAAGCCAAACAAGTATATGAAATGCTACTATTATCAACAGAATAAGCTGATGCATGCTACCAAACAGGCTCTTGTTTGGTTGCATAGCATCACTGCATTAAGGAAATGTTTGTAAATAGGAAGCATTTTTCATTAACGTGGACAGGAATTGTATGAGAATCCATAACGAGGCATAGAGCTACGATCAGTTGAGATGATAACTGGATTTTTTTATGAACTTAAATCTAATTTTATGAATTGGTTCCATAGTAATGAAGAGTTAATGTTATTCTTATTCTCATATAGTCACATCCGTAGAGTCTTGATATTTTTGTAGTCGTGGCTTACAGGTTTGGTTTTAGTTAGGGCTGAACCATTGACAAGAATAGTGTTAAAAGAGAAATATAACAACGACAACAATTAAATTGTAATAAGAATAATCGTGGAGTAATATAATATTAGATTCTGGGATGTTTGTGGATATGGACTTACAGCATGTCCTCAACATCCTTCTATTGTTTAAAATTTGATATTAGAATAGTGTTTATTCCCGCTTTTTCTCTAAATGTATATTTGCAGGGTTTTTTATCACGGTTTGGATCACTGCTTTCATGTTCAAGTCAAATGATATTCTTAGGAAGCAGACAGCTCTAAAGGTGTGTAACGTATTCCAATTACTTAGCTTTCTTTTTCATATGATGTACAAGCTGCTAAAGAGCAAACAAATTCATGCCCTGTATATATTCTGTTTTTGAAGGGAGAGAGGAAGATGTATGTGCTTGTTGGTTAT